CCCAAATTTTTCAGCATCAACATGTAAATTACGTCGGGTCCAACGTCTTTGGAGGCTTTCGCCTGAGGCGCACTAGGTGTTGGCAGTTTGTGCAGCCTTCTGGTCACTCAACGTTTGGCTTTATCCACCTGTGAATGCAGTATGAACTGTCGTCTAAAGTATCTCGCGCATCGCTCCGGGTCCGAGGAAGTGTGGTCTTCAAAATTTATTTCAACTCTGTCGTCACGTTTCGTCGGGTTGGACAATGACCTCACGGTTGACCAAAACTTACACCAGAGGCGAAGTTGCAGGTTTTTAGGTGCACTTCCACTTCTTCCGCTTATGTACATTCACAAGTTGCCGAATCTCCGAGTTGAGATCCGTGATACGGGGGTTTTCGGGATCGGCCAGACGAAGGTTGTCACGCTCATCGGCTAGGACAGCCGCTTCAGCAGGAAAACTCGGACAGGGGTCTGAGGTACATCCTGCTGGAACGAAGCGGGCATGCTGCAGCAGTGACAACCCTGCGGAATTTACGCTAACCTACGTGAACGTCGGTTCGTGTGGGTAGTGCAGTGAAGGTGCTTTCAGTAACATCCGCGAAGCCTTTCCAGTCAGCTTTAGAGAGGTTGACATAGGACCGGTGTACCGCGGAAGCAAAGTCGGCTGGTTTATCAATCGAGATGACTATGGGCAGATGGTCTGATGTCATGATATGCTGTTCATCAGACCAGCGCTGACAATTGTTAGATCTGGCGAGCTGCAGCAGCTGCCCATAATCCTGGTGGGTGCGTCGTCGTTCATTGTGCAGAATGTCGAGTCGCCTATCTGCTCAGCCAATTGTGTTCCCCTACGATCGTTTGGCAGGCTAGAATGCCAAAGATCGTGGTGCGCATTGAAGTCATCAACTACCATACGGTTTTCACCTCTGAGGAGCGCACCTATTTCAAGGTGATATCCTGCCGGGCAGCTAGCTGGTGACAGGGGGTATATACGTTAAATATTTCGAGCTCTACATCACCTGACCGGATAACAATACCCTGATATTCTAGGATGGTATCCCTGCGGTCGATGTCTACTTCGATAAGACGATACTGCACGGTGTGGTGCGTGATGAACGCTAGGCCACCATCATTATCTCGCTCGCGATCTCGACGGTGCAACAATGTTGAATTGCCATGCAGCTTCGTCTCTTAGACCGCAGCAATTAATATTCCGTGCCGACCCATGAAGTCTGGTATCTCCTCGTTCTTGCTGTGAAGTTCGTTACAGTTAAATTGTAAAATATTCGTGTGCCTAGGGAGACTTTCTGGAATGTGTGGTGTTAATCAGGCGTGTTGTCAGCTCGCCACATGCTGTGTGTGCCGCTGTAAAGGCTGTTGGCCTGTGGTGGTAGTGGGCGGGGTCGCAGTTGGTACTTACGACCGCGCAGCACAGCATGGGCCCTCATAGTCCCTCGTCCAATCTCGCGTGTTGGCAAGTGTTGCACTTTACTGATGTCACATTACGGAATATCCTGGACTGACACATCGTACAGATTGTCGGAGGAACTACGAGTTGTTGGAGGTGGCGTGTGGGTGGTGATGCGGTTGTGTGATCGTTTGTGTCTGTGGTGTTGTCTATTGTATTGTGATATGATGCGGTTGTGTTTGTGTCGAGTTGTTCAGGCAGACTCTGGTGCTCCGTGGAGACAGCTCGATTTGAGAAGTAAGGGGCCACGTTTGCGGGGGTCCACTGCCGGTGAGTCGTAAGGCCTGAGCAAACTCGGAGGTGGTACCACCCATTACATGCAAATATACAGGAAAATAACCCAAAATACTTACAAAACTTAATAGGACTGCACAGGATATGGTGGTAATGACCTTGGATTTGCATTTACAAATTCAATACTTGCTACCATGGCAACCGTTTGCATTTTATTGTTGTGAATTTACAAATGTAAGATCATTTGCACAAGATCCTGAGCATCTATAATATTTCTTCGGTATAAGTTTTAATAGAACAAAACATTCGGAAATATTTTTACAAGAACGAAAGTGAGAACAAAACTGTCGAGAACGCTCTCAATGGGAATTATATAAGAACAAAACCAAGTGGAACGTTCACAAAGAGAACAAAATGCGAACAATACTTTTGGGAACATTTCTAATAGAATAAAATGGGAACAAAAGTCTCCGCAACGTTCCGACAAAGAACAAAACAAGAACGATTATCTAAGGAACCTGCTCTCGAAGAACAATTTGGTAACTAAAGTCTCAGGAACTTTCTAACAGAGAACGAAACGGGAACAACTCTTCTCTGAACTATTTGCAAAGCATGGAAGCGAAAACAAAATTTTTCTCGCAGCCCTCCATTTGTTTGAAATGTTTGAATATCAAAATTAATCAAAAATGAACTGAAAGATAATTTTGCAAATTAAGTCAACGAAAGACTTAAGATACGAACTTTTCTTGCACAGGAGATGAAAAGTTGTTCCATTAAGTTCAAGGATGAAACTGACAGTTGAGTAGACTGTGGGTGTTTGCATAGAGATCATCAGATTGGCGACCCTCGCGTCGACGGACCCAACGAACGTTGGCCAACACTCACCTTTTAACGCAAGCAAGGCCGTCAATGACAGTTGTATAACCTTGCGTTTACACAAGACAAGACAAGATACATATTAATTGCCACATTGTTTGAGTAAAGTAGGCGTCCAGACAATAAACTATCTTCGAAAAGCCAAAGATAGTGAACAAGTTAAAAAAAAGTGTGAATGTATTGCTATTGTATCTGCAAAAATGACTTGCCTTAAGGAACAGCTGATTTTTGTTTGCAGACGCAACACCTTCATTGTGGAGTATCTCTACGCTACGTATGCCACTTTCTTCGCACACTTTTCCGTTATTGATCCATTGTAACGGGGCTATAAGTTCTCAAAACGTTTGTTCTCTAGCAGAAGGTTCCCCAGAATTTGGTTCTTATTTAATCCTCCTTGAAAACTGTTCTCAATAGTTTTGTTCCCGTTTTGGTTCTTTTGTGGGAACGTTCTTGACATTACATTTCGTTCTCATGCAGAACTAAACCTAGACCAAAACCGGAACATGTTCTCGGTCCCTGCTTCTAACTGAGACGGGGTCATTTACAACAGGGGAAAATCAACAAGTAATTTTTGAGCAAAAAAACAGACCGACCTCGATTCTCATATAAAAATTAAATATTATCGTTAATTTCTTCAATATCCAATGATCGCATCTAAACCAGATTAGTATGGCAACACCTCTGAGGTACCACCATTTCTTAAAAAAAAAAAAGAATTATACATTAACGTGGTTCAAAGCTATGCGGTAAAATACTTAAAAACAAACATTTCGAGGAATTGATAACCCCCTACTTTTTTTTAAATCGGTTAATAATCAGTAGAAGACGAGTTTCTGGCATACAGCCAATTTGAGGTTAAAGGAACGCATTTTGACTAAAACAAAAACTATTTTACGCATTCACTTGATTTTTCTATAAAAAAAAAAATCATGATCTCCCCATGGAAGAAAAGTTCTGAACTAAAACGATGAATCCGCCTCAAGACTACTAAGTATTTTTCAAAAGCACTGAATAAATTCGTTTAACGTTTCACACGGGATCACAAATTTTAGTTTGGTTTTTGTTCTCCAGACGCCACTATCCAATTTCTATGTAGAATTGCTCGGTGATTCCGAAAATCGAGTTCATGTTTTTTTCTATGGATACGTTTTCGAGATATTTGCAATTTACCGTTATTCAGTTTAAAACACAAAGTGGTTCCACTTAATCACGTATATCTTACGAACCAATTTAACAAGCTTAAAATGAGATAAGTCAAATCAAAGCTAATAAAATTCCGATAGGTCTGATGACAAATTATTTAATCATTCCAGTTTTTTTTTTTAATGAAAGAATTAAAAAAAAATCAAACCTTAACAGAAGAAAAATTTTAAAAATAACAGGTTCTGTGTCAAATTATTGTTGCATTTGTGCTAAAGCCTGTTCTGTTACCAAAACAAAAAAAATCAAGTTACTAATGAAGAAAATCGATGGATAAATAAGAAGTAATGGGTCCGCAAATATTTTTTGTATGATATATGAGCAGAAAAGCGTGTTACTCAGGTGTATGTGGCTTATGCGTAACTTTCCTGCTCATTTTTCATACAAAAAATCTTTGCGTATTTTCATTTGACCACTCATTATTTCTTATTTATGGGAAAAATAAACTTTTTCGTAGAAATGGCATAGAATTCTTGAAAGTCAATATTTTTCGATCGGGAAACTCTGTTTTTCTTCAGGAGACTTTCAATAATAATACCCAATTGCTTATTTAACCATTTTTTAATACTAACGATTTTTTATTGGTCGCCCCATTGCATTTTTTGGGGTTTCTGGCGGACCTATAAGTTATAGTTGCAATGAAAAAATGGTTAAATAAACACTTGGGTATTATTACTGGGAGTCTCCTGCAGATCAATAGAGTTTTCTGGTAGAAAAATATTGATTTTTAACTATTCATACCATTTCTACGAAATGTTGTTTTTTTTCATATAAAATACATGGAAAACTTTAGGCGCTTTGAGCGACCTCCAAATATTTTTTGATTTTAAAACAAAAAAATAAGAGTACATTTTTTTTTCGGTATAGAACAATTCTAGGGGGTGGGGGCATAAAAATTCCGACTTTACTTTTTCACATGCATTTTTGGACCACCCTATAACACATGCTATGGAGGTCCGCCCGCCCTTAAACTGCAATGGGTCCATTAATATTTTGCAATAGCGACAGAAATTTTATTTATATTTATTAATGTTTTAATAAATGTATTTTATATATGTATTTACTTACCTTTACTCTTTTCTCTACGTACTCGGGTATCACCAATTTGTCAGCAAACTACATACGTTAAGTTTTCGTCTAAGTTTAATTCAATTCAATTTATTCAGTGGCGGTATGAAAAATTATGTTCATAAGTTTTTTTTTTTGTATTGTAATCTAGCGTTTACGTATTCACAGTTAAATAAATTAAACATAAAATCTTTATTTGTTATAAAACTAAAAGTAAAACAAAGACAAGCTTTAACTACGCGCTTCGACTGTGAAACGGTATGCGTTTGGAGCATTATGTATGTATATGTACTTTAATAATTAAAATATGTTTACCATTTGTAATAATGTTAATTGAAAATAATTACGGTACCTTACTCTTAGATATAATTAAATTACATTCATGTCTTTCTCATATAAGTTTGACTATAAATAATCAGTTCCGCCTAATCTGCAAATCCACAAAAATGTAAGTATTCACTTCGCGCGTTGTTACATACATACGTACATATACAAAAATAGGAATTTCAGCTTACTTAATCGGTAATTAATTACTTAAGTAACTTTTTGAAAGTACTTATTTATGTGTTACATTTTATTTTATTTATTTTTATTTTTTTTATCCACGAAACATAACCTAAACGAGTAGTTTACCACTTTCGTATGCTTAGTAGCACATTTGCTGCTTAAATATCACGAAGGAACATGGTCTTATTCAAATCCTGTTGTTGTGCAATAAGTATGTTACACAACTCCACCACTTACGTACATTTGTAATTTCACCGCTCAACTGTATCTGATCTTATGACTCAACGGACAGGGTTTTATTGTTTTACGTTTCTTTCCAGCTGCTTTACGGTACTTTGTCATATCTGTGGGCGTCACAACTACGCGCGGCGTTATGTTGTACAGCAATTTGAACTTCGATATGGTGATTCTCGTCTGCACAGTATCTGCTGCCGCGATCTTGATAAATATTTTATTCAAATCCAATGGCACTATTGGCTTTCCATAGTAGCTAAACGGTTGCAATTGCTGCTGCTCCGCTTGCGATGTTTCACTATCGCTTACTATGCTAAAGTTGGAATTCTCGCTATCGTCCATCACGACATTCTCTCTAACCACAGCAGTCGGAGGTGGTAGTACCTCCAAATTGTGTAGCGTCTTCCTCTTTTTATTGCTGAACAAAATCCCAGTCGGTTCACCCGTTGGGGAGCTAACCGCTAAGCGCATCATAACAGACTCATCTCTACCTAATGCAATCGTGCTGCGACGTTTCATAATTTTTTGTGCGGTTAAAGTTGGTTGCAATGCCTTAGCATTATTGCCAGCCAGTTGCAAGGCCGCTGTGGTCGAGGATGAGGCTGATACTGTGGAGGTTGGTGAGTTTGCACCGGTTTCAGCCATTTTAGCTTCGATGGATTTTCTAGCGACTAAACGTCCCAACGAGAGACGCGGTATTGGTGGCTGCTGTGACGTTTTCTGTATCTCATCGTAGAGCAATTTAATCTGCTTGTTTCCATACTCTTTTAGGTATTGCGTTAAGCGTAGATTGCATAGATCTACCGTCAAACCATTGGGGAATATCAACTGCAGCTGCTGCAGGTATCTACTGATTTCGGCGCTAGTATAGATATAGCAGAAATTCTTTATCTCTTCACGATGATCCGAGTAACAATGTTGCATATAACCATTGAAAGAGGACTGTGGCTGTGTGCAGAAGTAGCAACGCTTAAAACCGCTATAATGATCGATCATATGTCGCAAGACGGTCATTTCCTGTTGCGACGTGAATGGGCATATCGGACACGAGTAGATTAGTTTACTCTCTATTATCTGCGATTTAATATCACACTCATTTGGGTGCGCCAATGATGTATGCTCCACAAAACCAGCCTCATTGGCGAGCAATTCCATGCAACTTAAGCATTGGACGTATGTTAAAGGGGAACCCAGAGTTTTCAATTTTTCGAGCTGTGCCAGCGACATGACTTTTAAATCCAAAGGTTTGTGGCGCAAACGCGTTGTGTGCTGTGCTAAGTGCGCCAACGATTGGCCTCGATACTCACAATGGCCACAAGTCAAACCAGCTGATGTGGCATATGCGTCGGCAGCTAAATATTTAGTTGCCTGGTGCATCTCTTTCATGTGAGCTATCAATTCAATACTGTTGCCCGTAAACGAAAGACAATGTGGGCATTTGAGTGTCGTACAAATACGATAGCGGAATGGTTTCATTGTATCAAGTTTTTGGCAACCGGAACTTTGCCAATGTATATCACGCAAATCCTCGAAGTTTGGAAATTTAGTATTGCAATAGTAGCAAAGAAATCCAAATTGTTCTAAATTTAAATTCTGAAAATTGGGAGGTAAGGTATTTTTGATTAAAAGGATTGAAAAAAGTCGCACTAAACTTTCTAGAAATTATCAACATTTGGAATGTTGCTATCTGAGAATGAGTAAGCATGCAGTATGGAAAAAATTTAAGGCAATAAAATACAGCTAATAGAATTCTATGTGAATATGACGAATAGATCTGGCAGCGTTGCTATAATGAGAACACTAGCCTGGTTAAGAATGATAGAATACAAGATTGCGTATTCCTGTGGCTGATGACGTCACGCTAAGCAACGCATAGGGGAGATGAAGGCGAAAAAATAGCGTCGGTAGCTAGATACAAGAAATATTTAATACTACGTACAGAAAGAGCGAAATTAAAATAAAAATAGGAACTGCTAGCTAGTAGACATTAGTTACGCGAATTTCTAGCTAGTTATTTCTGCTTATTTTTATGTTAAAAATTGTTTACTAGTAAAAATTAGTAATTATTATTGGTAGCTATCCATAAAGGAACAAACTTTGTGCGATATTACTATAATGACGTCTCTGAAACAGCTGATTGTGTCAAACTCGGCAAGGGTAAAGTAGCGGTACTGCTCAATGCGCCACCTTTGTCTTCTCTACATCGTGAATATGAAGGAAATATTAATATTTCAAAAGACAACGGTATGTGCCTGGATTTTTTTTTTTTTTGCAAATGGCGGACTGAACAGCTGTAAAACGAAGTGATGAGGCTTTTCGCTACTGACTGCCGAGGTGCGGCTGGTAGTAGAAAAAACTATCGTAATATCTCTAATAAGGACGCAAATTTAAACTAGCGTTTTGAAATTAATAATTCAGCAGTGGGATTAAATTGCAGCTGAAGTTTAGTGGAATTTTGTGAAGGTAAAAAGTGCACTGTAGTGTTAAAATAAGGTTAAAACAAAGTGAACTGTTAGTAGGTGTATTCAGCAACTTCTGTAAAGCAAGGTGTAAGCATTTAACCCTGATTGTAAGCAATCGCAATATGACGCTAGAGGGGGTACTGAAGGTAGATAGAAAAATCGAGATACCTGCAAGTATCAGCGTTCTATGTACTGCACGACGAGAATATTATGGGACAACGGACCACTAAAACTTCCGCTCCGGTTGCTCCACAGATAACTACGCTTCTGGTTTTTTAAGACCACTTTTCGAAGGCGTGAACACTTTAGTTTCTGCTTGGCTTGACAAATGGTCGAAACAGTTCAACGAAATACATCAACAGGGTTGGGAAACCCCACGATCATAGCACAATGAACTTAAACTAGCAATCTGAGAGTTGAAGAACTCCAACGAGACTGCCTCAATTTGAACTTTCACTTCGCGCTAAACTCAGTAAAATCTTCTTTGTTACGCAGGCACTTACTGACACAAAAAAAAAATTCTAGTACAACAGACATAGTTTAAGTACAAAGGAAGTGATGTTAATCACAGTTGACAAATATCTAAGCATAAAAATGTAAAATGTTAAGTTATAAGCTTTAGTTTAAATGCGTATAAAATTCTTTTGCACTGCAAGTTTGAATAAAGAAATATAAAATATTCAATTAAGTCAACTAAGCTTTATTACATAATATACAAACCATTTTTATTAAAATATTAAATATGCTTAACTTTAATACTTAATTTAATTGATGTTTATGAGAATTAATTACTATTTCATATTTGCATTGCATACATTCGTATCAATGAATTTCAGTCTGTTTTTTTTTTTTTTTGACATGCTAAATATGTACATACATATAAATAGGTACATATTGCCCTGTTTTAAGAATCAGAAGCCCCACTACATACATAAATACATGAACACTAACAATAAAACTTAAACACCTACCTCATCACTATCGCCATTTTCCGTTCCCTCATCATTATCATCCAAACATAAACGCTTTTGATAGCGTTCAGATTCTTCCTCATCCTCCATAAGTATGCCGCGTATGTGTCGTACACGTGTCGGATCGTCCCTTTGCCAGAGCGGACGCGTATCAATCGCCTTCGCACTGCTATTACTATCTTCCTGCTCCTCTAGCTTTTCGAAAACATAACGCGCTTCACGCTTTTTACCCGAATGCTTCTCATCGATATGTGTCATCACTTGCACCAATTGTGGCGCTGTAAATGCGCAATGCATACATTGATATTGATGTTTGCAGGAATGTTGAGATGCTGCATGTGCAACGATTTGTTGGTGTGTCATTGTTTTGTGGCCACACAAATTACAAGACCATTTGTTCTGTTTGCCGCCTTTGGATTTTAGCGCTTCGGATTTAGCGGCGGCTCCTGTTGTTGTCATTGGTGTTGCGGAAGTTACAGTGCTATCGGGGTTTTTGGCTGTTGAGTTTAGTTTTTTTTTCGAAATAACCAGGAAGAGTTTAAAAAAATAATAAATTGGAGATTAGTGCGGAGACAGGGGCGTTTTAGGTATTTAGAAATTATGATTTTCTTTTGATTATTAAAAAAAACGATGTCTTACAAATATTCAAACCGTTTCTCTACTTCTACTTGTAGCTTGAGGGGCCTGTCTTACAAGCATATTGTCGCTTGGCGCGCAATATTTCGCATACGCCCCAATCGCAATACCACGCATTAGGCTGCGGTTTCGCTAAGAGCGAATTTTATTCGTACGACGTCGCTTCAACAGTGAAGTACCTACGTTGGTATGTTAAGGTTTCGGTAAGCCACTTAAAGGCCAGTATGCAGCTCTCAAGAAAAGCAAAAACTCCATATAAAATGACTTACAAGAAATGGCTAAGAAATTTTCTTGTGTCAAATTTCCTTAAGGCAGTGTACGCAGTTCTTAAGAAATTTGCTACGCTCTTACTGAAACCGCGGCCTTAGTACGAAAATTTTACTTTTGAACAAAGAAACTTATTTTATATCATAAATTTTAAACTTAATTTCTTTAATCTTTTGAAGGGTTTTCTAACTGAACTTACTAAATATGTATGAGCTTCTACTATATATATTTATTCAACACTTAATTGAAGTAGGCAACCATTGAGACAGGGTAACCGAAAATAATTTTTTTCTCTGACGTGGTATAGTATTTGGCGGATACGAGGTATTACGCACCAAGCGGCGATATAATCGTTTAAGTTGTCAAAGCGTTTTTTATGGTAGAAATACAACACGTCTTATATGAATGTATGTACATACATAGTTGTGTGCAGCTGCAGTTCTAGTGATGTGTTGCATATAAACACACTTCATTTATTCACTTTACATTAATTCTCCTCCTTTAATTTTCAATTTGTTGACAGCATTTTGCATATCACTTTCAACTTTTTATTAATTTGAGAGATTAAATTTCACTTAGGTTTTCATTTTACTTCATTCCACTTCGTTTCACTGCACTTCATCTCATCTCATTTGTTTTCTTCTCATTTCACTTTCATTTCATTTCATTGCTTTCCATTTCGTTCCACTTCATTATTTTTTTCATTTCATCTCTTTTAATTTAATGTAGTTTTGTTTTATTTTGTGTATTTCACTTTATTAAATTTTTTATTTCTTTATTTTTTCTCTTTTAATTTGTTATTTGTTATATTTTTTTAAACCCAAATTCATAAAAAATAAAGGAGACTTTAACTGCTTTTTAAATCGAATTTTTTTTTGAAAATATCAGTTTATAGAGCTCTATAAACCTATTTTATTTCTTATGAATAAGGCCATTTATTTTTAATGTAGTTTATATAATTTTTTATGTAATGTTTTTTTTAGTTTTATTATTATATTTTTTTTTTTAGTTTGTTTGCTTTCTAATTTTTTTTATTCTATTTTTTATTGGTTTAACCGACTTCCAAAAAGGAGGAAGTTATCAGTTCGTCGGAATATATTTTTTTTTATGTATGTTACCGCATAACTTTGGACCACGTCAACCGATGTCGATAATTCTTTTTGCATCGGAAAGGTAGTGTCTCATATTAATCTGGTTTAGATCCGATCATTGGATCATGATATGTATATATATTTTTTTTTAAGTCGTTTTTTTTTCTAAAAATTACTTGTTTTCAAATTTTTTTTGTATGTATATCTTTATTTTTGCTTATTTTATTTTTGAATTTTATTTGTTTATTTAATTTTTGATTTAATATTTTATATTACTATGTACGTAAATACATAGTTTGTACTTTTTCTTATTTCATTAGATTTTTTTCAATGAAATTACACCACCATGTAAACACATCACATCACATCATTCACTTATAGTATGAATTCACCTCAGAATTAATTTCATTTCTCATCGCCAACATTGACTTCCCCTCAATTTTACTACACTTACAACTAGTACCATAATCGCTATTCACTCACCTGCATTCTCTTTCGTCCGATCGTACTCGATCACCTTCACGAATAACGGCGGATCTACATCATGCTGTCGTATATGCCGATCAACCACATTTTTCATGTAATGCAAGTACCCACAGGATTCACACTGATACAATTTCGGTCCATGAAAACGTAAGTGATTTAGAATCCGTTCAATCGACAAGTTACGCTTACAGATCTCTTCCTTGCAATGCGGGCAATTATAATTCAAAATATCACCGTGCAACGCATTCAAATGCGATCGGAAAATATCATCCGATATTGTCAAATATTGACAATTGCTAACACCGCAGGTATAACGTTTCGTATCCGGTATATATGCGTAAAGTACTTTGCCCTTAACGCCAATGGTTGGCGCGTTGTTACCATCATTAGCAGTGCTTGTCGCATTTCCGGTTGAGCTGCTGCCCACCACCAAAGAAGATGATGCCAGATTTGTCATTCTATCGAAATGTTTCTCGTTCGACTTCAAGCACGGTACCGGATTGATTGGATCAACCAAATTGGTCAATTGCTGTGGACCACAATTGCTGTCGTCGGTGTGCATTTGCAAATGACGCATTAAATTCGTGCGTACCTTTGTTTTATATGGGCAAACGGCACAATTTAGTATTTTATCAAATATCGGTGTTAGCGGCAATAAGCCGATTTCGCTCGGTTTGAAATGTGTGCGCGAACTGGATTTCTTGCGTTGCCATTCGACAATCAGTTTCTCACGAAACTGTTGAATCTCATATTGACTTAGAGTTGTTGTGAATATCACATAGTATGAATTGCTTGAACTTTGTTTATCTGTCGCTTTAAAAGGCAATAGAGTGGGACGTAATTTCTTACAACGCCAATGTTTGTCCTCAAAATGTTTTTGCATTTGTTCAATGTTAATGGCGGTATTTGTGCACATATAACAGAAATATCTGTGTATACCGTGTGATTTTATATGCGTCTTGATCTTTTGTGGCTTATTAAAGGTACACTTACAATGTGGGCACTTGTAGGTGTGGGCATTAATATTTATCTGGCCCAGGGTGGATAGATGATAAACGACATGTGAATAATAGCTCGCTTCCGTTAGTTTTGTCTTGCAATCCTCAATGGTGCAGCGGAAAAGTTTCGAGTCTGCAACGGTGAGAGGATTATCATTAATTTAATCCGAAGTGATGGTGGAGTTTTAAGCAGAGAAATGTTAATGTTTTAAACGAACTACGCCATCTGAGTATTTTTCTATTACTAGGCAACAGACATATAACGATTATGGCGTAAGGTAGGGCCAGAACATAAAAAGTTATTGAATTCTTAACATTTTCGTAATCACGTAATCACGATGGCCTAAAGAATAGATGACTCAGAATATACACATGCAGACTTGTCTGTACTAGATGTCCATAATGAGCCTATGTACATATGTATGTATGTGACTAGGGAATCCAATCCCGCGTAAAAATCGCAATCCCGCAAGCTTTCTCTAAACAGTTATATTCAAAATTGATATATAAAACATAGACGATTTGATTTAAAAAATCTACGTTATTACTTTTAGTTAGGTTGACTTTTTTGATAATATTTCCGAAGGAATGATAAATTCTTTAAGGTTTCATCTATTCAATTTGACCTTATTTTATTGATTTTGGTGATTATGCATAGTTTCGTAGCTATATGGTCAAAATTGCTATATCCCAATGGGAAAATAGGTAAGCACCTTACGAGGTAAGGCATGTTTTCATTCAGTTTTTAGTACCAAAATTGTCATCATGACTAGTAAAGCACAAAATTAACACCTCTGACGACGCATTACGTTATCAGTTGCAAATTAACGTGCAGCCGAAGTTAATTCCCTGCTCCATCACGTCAGGATTTGCTTCTAACTTCAAAACACATTGCGAAACTCAATGAATTCCTCCTAAAGGCCTGCTGAAGTACGTCCTATAAAAGCCCTTCTGGCTTCTGCGTAGCGAAAGAAGAAGCCTTTCAAATGATGACAGTCCATACAAAAAAAAAGGAGAAGGGAATGTAGAGTGGAAGACCTTTTGACTCTCAGGAGGACCTTTCGGAAGTGCTTTTAACTCCTTAAATTATCTACTGGGTTGTAAAATGATGTATGTATATTTAATAAAGCCATGCACGACGAACATTTTGGCGAGCTTTCACCGCTCGCAATCGTCTTTTTCATTTTTTTCTGTAGTCCCGCAAATCCCATGGATCCCGCCTTTGTAATCCCTCATTACTGATCCCGCAAAAATGGCGCGAGATCCCGCATTTTCGGGATTGGATTCCCTATATGTGACTAATTTGTGACTCTAAAGCTGGATTTACATGAGGCGATTTTCTAGGCGCTTCAACATAGCTCCAGAAAAATCGCTCGTGTAAGTGATTCAAAAATCGCTTGCCTCAAAGTAAACATTTGCATGCGATTATCGCCTGTCAAAAAATCGCCCCATGTAAAGGCAGCTTAAAGGTTGGTTGGCAAGGAGTAGCTCCGCATGCCACGATGTTCGCTCACTTCAAAGATTACAACGAAATATGTTTGAACAACGTGTCGCATAGGTGTATACCGAACTTATATGCGACCAAGTATGCATACAAGTCTGATTGTATATATTATCCTTGAGCCTCAGCTACTTTGGAGAGTTTTTTTTTTTGCAAAATTTCGGGAAAATTTTAGTAGACGGACGGCAAATTCTAGAAAAAGGGGGGATGAGGGGGGGGGGGGGGGGGTTGGTAGAATAGGACCCCCTGATTTCAAAACTACCCCCCTTTTTTCTAGCAACCCTATAGTTCTTATATAATTTATTGTTAAAGTTTTCATATAAACGATGAATAAGATAGCAAAATAACATACAACTTAGTGCTACCAGACTGGAATTTTGAATAATAAAAGCGGATTTTTAATTCGGAATTTTTACTTAGTAGAATTATTATTTCTGTGTTGCCGAAGAAGGGGGCTGAACACCTTTTGCAGAGAACACCTTTCTGCGTAGGAGGCCTTCGGCCGCACTTAGGGATTATAACCCTCAGGCAGTAGAATTCTCCTTTCTGTTTTGCGAAGAAAAGGAGCTGAACACCTTTTGCAGAGAACACCTTTCTGCGTAGGCGGCCTTCGGCCGCACTTAGGGATTATAACCCTCAGGCAATAGAATTCTCCTTTCTGTTTTGCGAAGAAAAGGAGCTGAACATTTTCTTTTGTATTGATTTCCCCTGTATTCCTTTTTAATCATTGCCTTCTTTGTATGTATTGTTTTGTACAATATGGCAACACATGTTATGTGTCAGTTTGCAACCATGTGTTATTGTAAGTATGCGTGAAATTCAATGTAATTTACAAGTCGATAAAAGTTTAATTAAAGTGATTTATATACAAGATAAAATAAAAGAAAAGTGTGTAAAGTATTAAGTACGGTGTTATGTGCATTTATATATAAAAGTATGCACAAATGCTTTTTTGTTAAGGAAACCAAGTGGAACGACTTAAGAAATTTTAACAACAAATAACTTATAAACAATGATATTATTTATATTTTTTAGTTATACATGTTTTAGAGGATACCTCCCTTAACATCCTGACCAAGTTTCATTTGTTCCACCTGGTTTTCTTAAAACACAAGGTGCGGCTGACTACTAAAGCCCACCCAAAATTTGTTTTTAGAGGTATGGATAGATAGAATAAAATTTCTTTTCCATTTCTTTTGCATAATTTTATATGACTTTCGATTTTGTTCAGAGCTGCAGGCAGGCCTGAATGATATACCTTCAATTTTTCGCTTATTGGAGGCAATAGATGGGGATCGGCCTAAGCTTTCTAACAAATAGCTTAAGTCAAATGTATTATCGCGCCTTCATTATTGAGCCGCAGAAACGGCTGGTAATACCAGCGGTGTGCCCATTTCCAGCCTAGAACTGCTCCCATAAGTGTCGAAAGCGGCTAAAGAATTTTTCTTGAGCAGTTGTTCGTGGCTGCTCTCGGCGGAAAGGATTGGTAGGAAAGGTCTAACAGCTGTAAAGCCTCTAAGTCTTGGTATTATTGCGAGTCAAAATGAAATGCCAATTTATCGAAACGAGAGGATATTTCTACATTTTTAGACATAGGCGGTGTGAACTCTTTCGGAAAGTAAATAAAGCATGGGGAACGAAACGGCGTACTATATCAAATCGACTCGCTGTGTTAATTCTACTCCCAAGCCTCAGACTGCGAGCAATTAAATGGCTAAGAGAGGTATGATGCCCCGGTTTAGTTGTGAAGGACGGGCACACTTGTAAAAGGTGCGCGCACGTTTTCAGATGATAAAATATATATTGATACGAAGTAGGGCGTATAAAAATCTAGCTTTAAGTAGAATTTCTCAACTAAATTACGTATATAAAATAATACTAATGATATTTACCTGGCACACCAGTTGCTGAAACAATATCCTTAAGTGCAGTTTCCCATGTTTCTTGCGTGAAAGTATCTTTCTTCCCCCAGCGCTGGTAGTTGCTCGCCCCAGTACTGGTAGTTGCGTTTTCACTCGCACCCTGTTGACTACCATTGCTATCCGGATTACGCAGTATGTCCCTTATCGTTCCTGTATCTGAAGCGCTTCTCATCAACATACCATGCTTTTGATCGGTATGCTGCATAAATCCATCCACATCTTCAGCTAAAAATGAGCATTGCGAGCAACGCAGATACTCACGTTGGGCGCTAAAGTTTTGACGGTCATGGAATTGCAAATGATCGCCCATGGCCAGTGGTAAGCGCGTCTGATATTTACAGCCATTTGCCATGCACTTAAATTGTGGTGCCGTTGGTACAACAACTGATGAAGTGCTCGTGCTGCTACCCGAATCCGAACGACTTATACGTGCTGAAGGATTCGCTGCAATTGAGATATTAAAACCCAAACGTCCTTCTTCATATTGAGCCGAAACTGTTTGGGTTATAAGGTAACTGCCAGTAGTTGCTTGTCCAACAGGCACAGTTTCAGCGACTACTTGCGGTTCCGGCGAGTCACTTGTGACCGAGTTTCTATCAGCACCGCTATCACGCACGGAATGCCTGTTCCTGGCAAGTATGCGCGATACTTCCAAAGACTCGGAAGCCGAACGTTCTAGCTCGGCGCGTTCCTCAGCTATGTGTTGAGCCCAAAGGGAGCCTGTGTTATTTGTTGGTGATGCGTTGGAGCGGGCATTTAAGCTGCAAACATTTGATATGACTGGCAGCTGCACGCTAGGTGTGGTTGGTGGAGGGGCGTTGTTTTCCTTCAAGCTAACCACACTGGCTATTTGTAGTTGGCATGGCGGTGTTGAAGCTTGAGCTTCCACTGTAGCTGAAGGGCTTTCCTTACTAGGCGAACGACCATCTTCTTGAGCGCCAATATTTTGAAAGTGTCTATTCTCAATTGGTTTCTCTACTGCTGGCGGTTGTATTTGGTTTAGGAATGAAGTTGAGATCGCCGATGAAGGCGATGTTTCTATGGTTGTCAATTCGACCTGCTGCGCGTTTTCATCGAATACTGTTATTGGCTTGGAACCTTGCGCCGAAGTGGGTGTCGGCGTTGTCGATAGACAATCGCCCGTCAAGCGTCTAATCTTAATACGCGGTCTATCATCATCAAGTCCTGGCGAATTAGACTTGGATGGCTGTTTTAACTCTTCTACTGCAGGTAGAGGAGTGAGGATCGGTGACGCTAAATGCTTCGTACGCATGTGATTCAATTCGACGGAAAGCGGGAACTTATTTTCCAAACCAGCATCGCCTTCAACTTGTGCTTTGCAACTGTGACAATATCCATTCCAAGTGCTCTGCTTGTGTTCACAACTGAAATGGGTTTCAAGGCCAATTGCCTCACTCGAATAGAGAAATGTGCAATTCTCAGAAAGACAGTAAAATTTGAAAGTATTATCATCGATGGATTTCGAATAGCCGATATTTTCTATGCGGTGTATTGATGTCAAAGCCATCAGCGGACCGATCTCATTGGCGGCTGCAGTAGTGGCCACTATCCTACTTTGTTCTTGCTGTTGTTCGTTTACAAAGTCCAATGCCTCCTGCATATCCGCTTGTTGACTATCGTTATCTAAATGCATGGGCGTAGCATTTGCCTCCCAATTGTCTGACATGTAATCGGAATTTAGTATGGACGAAACATCACGGAGGTCCTGCAACGATTCCATGGGTGTTAGCTCTGGTACCAACTCTATTGGATCATTCAGCGGTGAGTCGGGCAATAAGTCGGCCAAATTGGTAATAAGTGGACGAAAGCCGAGGGTAGGTTCATCACTAAGCGGTGGCACATGTGCCAAAATCGTTGGCCCGCTTCTCAGCTCTACATTGGAAATATGAACTGGAGCTGGAGTTGGAGTTGCAGGCGTAACTGGAGCTGGAGTTGGAGTTGCAGGCGGAGCTGGAGTTGGAGTTGCAGGTGTAACTGGCGCCGGAGTTGAAGGTAGAGGTGCGGCTGTAGGTTGAGCCGCTCCCTCTACATTGTTATTGCTCACATTTACTACGACGTTGTGGGTAGCGTTCTCTTTACTTGCCGCCTTACTAGGTTCCCCATCCTTCCTTTCTTCCGTCGGCTTCCTTTTGCTACCAATGGTGATTGATAAACTTCTCTTTAATTTCGTATTCGTCGCGTATAGCCGATTTAACTTATGCAACACATTCTTCTTGCTAGATTTACTGTTTTTACTGTTGATGGCGCTTGACGCAGTCGAAACCACAGACGACGACGTGCTCGGTGCAGACTCGGTTATTTCAATATCTTCCCAGTTATCATCGTCATCTTCAGCTGGTGAATCGACAGCGGTTTCAATCGCAGAAGAAGTTACTACATCTGTAACTCGCTTTTCAGTGGCCAGGCAGACGCTTCCCGTATTGGTAGAGAAGGCTGTTTCCGTTGAGGGATTTAACTCTGGCCGTACCGTGGACTTTTCGGTACATAAAGGATCTTCAGTAGCAGTGTTAGTGGTTGTACAACTTTTGTTTTGAGTCGCAACATGAAGGATGGTAGGCGCTTCGACACGTGGTGCTGCTGTCTGTGCTAGCGGGGACGTTACGACATTTAGCGTGCTTTTTGTTGTGCTGGCTGTGGTCGGTGTGATGCGAGGCGCTGCTGGTTTGGGGCTGCTGTTGGTGTTCGCCATGGATACTTTCCCGCTTTTTATACTTTTGAATCTCTGGCTTAAGCGTTCTGCCATCGATATGCTGCCACCAGCTACGCCGCCGACAGCAGATGCAACGCCATCAATTCCAGTTACCGGCTGTTCATGTGATATAGTAAACAAGCTTTGCGCGAAATTATTCATAGTGGGTGACTCATTTGTCTCGCGTGTGGGCACGAATACATTGGAGTTCAAAGCCTTCTCGACAGCTGACTTCTTTACATCGGAGTTCTGCTTGCACTGCACACTTTTTGCGATTGGTAAGTCGTCCGAATCAATGCTTTCGTTATCACTTTTCGGGGAGTTTGGCTCCTCCAATGCAGCGTTACTTTCCTCGTCCTCTTCGTTGGTCTCCTCCTGAGTTTTGGCTTCTTCGATGTCCTCTCTGTCTAAACCTTCATTCAAAATTTTTGTTTCCAACTCGATTGCTTTCAAAGCGTCCACATTTTCCACGTCTCTGATATCGAACAAATCAATTGTGTAGCCGAGTTTAGCGATTTTCGATTTGGCCTTACCATGCTGATTGATATAGTGATCGTCGAGATTCTGTCTGTTTAGCTGTATGTAATTACATAGGTGACAGACATGTCCTGTCAACACTGGACCGTGTGGCATCGAGTTCTTACGCACTACAGTCGCGCCAACGCACACTGTCTTCGTATGAGTGTCTAGCTGGTTTGCTTTGGATGAAGGTCGATGACAATCACTACATTCAAAGAGGTATTCGCCTGTATGCGTTATGAAATGCTCTGTCCAGCTGCTCTGTACCGTGCGATTGTGCTGCAGGCAAAAGGGGCAACGATATGACCAGTACATGAATTTCTTATGGTTTACACCGAAGAAGGGTTTAGACATTTTTCCCGCCTTCATTTTTTCTAAAATCTCAGGCGAAAGTCGCGATGCATAGTATTCGCCGTGGTTGCCCTTGTAATGTGTAGCTGGAAAATTGATTTTCGTATCACATATCATACACCATTTAGTCCACTTCGATTGCGAATGCCATTCTTTATTGGTATTCTTTAAAGGAGCAGACTTAGAGGCGGAGTCGTTAGCATTCTCCAAGGCATGGTCGCTTTCGGCAACAACTTCCTCGTCATCGGATAACAAGGCCTCTTTCGGTTTCTTACTTTTCGGTCCTGGTTTGGATTGCTTCGCTTTAACGTCTACCTTGACCTTCTTAGCGGCTGGCTCCTCAGACGGCTCATCTGAAGAATCGTCTTCTACTTCCGATTGTTTTATCGGCGTATGGGGTTTTAGTACAGGCATTTTTCGCGGTGGTGTTTTATCAGTTTTCGAAATGCTATTCACTTCACTCTCAAGTTCATCTGCGCTGTCATTCGCTTCCACATTATTTCCTTTTCTGTTCCTCGTTGACCGCCTTTGAAAATCATTGACATTCAATTGCTTCAACACAACCTTGGCTTTACGTATGCGCGGTATTGCAGGCATTACTACCGGCGTGTCGTTCACTTCAGCAGCCACTGCAGTTTGACTCGGTTTTTCAGTAACATCCTTTGCATCATCAACTTTATCCGCCTGCTCTGCGGCTGCAACCAGCGTGCACATGCGACGCCCAGTGGCCGTTAGAACACCTTGACTTATAAACATGGTGCGTATGTCCTCGTTTAGACGATCCAGCTCATTCTTATACTTTCTTTTGGCTTTTGGCGGTTTCGCTACATTTATGGCATCACTTTCGCCTTCCTTCTTGTCTAAGACATCTTCCGGTTTCTGCAAGTCTTCACATGCTGATGCAACACTTTCATTTTCACCGGCCTCGTCCTCGTGAGCTTCTTCAAGCTGTGCCGCATTTTTCTCTGCCTGTGTTTCTACAATCTCTTTTACGAATTTCAGGTTGTCTTCGCTGAGAATTTGCGACAGTAAACTGAAAATTTGTGCTTTATCCTTTTTTGGGTTTAGTATGTCCTGTACGAAGCTTTCCAGCAAGTGTCGTTTTTGTGCATCTTCGTCCATTAGCACGTCAATTCTACTAGGCTTTGCTGACTTTCCAACTGCTTTCGCGGCTGGCGATGGTTTAGCGGTATCTGCTTCTTCTAAGGGTTGTGCGTTCGCAGCCACATTTGATTTCCTTCCTGTAGCGCATTTATTAGGTTTTTCTTCATCAGCCAGTTTTTCCTGTTTTATTGTTTTCGCGGTGACGGAGCGCTTTTTCTTTTCAGTTTCTTCGGCCTCCACCTGCTCAGTAATCTCTACATCCTCTGTTACCTGGTCACTACCGGTTTCGTTAGTTTCCGTCTTCACTCTACTCTTGGGGCCTTTCTTTCCTCCTTTGGGTGGCGTTTTCTTTACCACTGGTGACGCTTTCTCGCTGGGCGGTTTCAACGGCTCGCTACGTCGTTTGTGTTGGAAAACTTCCAAAGTACGTTGCACTTCATTAAAGTTTACGTTAGTGCGTGTGCGACGCTTGCCGGAAATTATATTCTGTGTTGAAACCTTGCAGTTATCGTCGGTTCTCTGGAACATTTCCGCCAGACACTTGTTCTTTTTAGGCAGCATAGCGTCAATTTCCTTCCGGCGTTCCTCCTCTTTTGCGCCTTGTATATCTTCATACACCAACGACTTGAAGGGAAAGATCTTATCTTTATCCACTTCCGGTAGACTACCGCGCACAACCATTGTGTTGCGTCGTCTCAAAATACGCGCTGGTATTGTAGCACTGCCGAGGTTATCTGAAAATAATGATGGAGTGGTTGAAGGAGATTCACCCTCGCCTTTGTCAGGCTTGCTCTCTTCCTTCGTTTCATTGTCTGCAACTGGTTTCTGTGGCTTACTCTTGCCAGACTCTTGGTTTGCAGTGACAGCCTCAACAGAGATTTCAGCTTCAATTGGCTTTTGAGTTATGTTTACTTCCTTCGTCTCATCGGAGATACTTGCTGGCGCTTTGGAGGGTGTAAAATTGGACAGAGCGGTTTCTGCAACCACACCTAAGTCTGCGCCACATGCTGGTTGGCTTGCTCCGATATTATCCTTCCCAATTTTAGTGCCGAGTTCCTGTTTGGAATTCGCTGACGCTACTTGCGTCACCTCAGCGTTCACCGGTGCAGCACTCACTTTATTTTCTTGCATTTTATTTACGATTTTCGTTTTAACCTTCTCGCTAACTTTTTTGTTCGTTTCTTTATCCTTTTTATTTGCTTCTTTGTTTAGGTTTATTTTATCGGTATTCTTTTCGTTAACCTCATTCTGTTTTGTTACCTCTTTCTTTTGGACTTCTGCCTTCTCATCCTTCTTTTCGCTAACTTCTTTCTTGTCGCTTCTATCCTTCTTTTCGCTTACATCCTTCTTTTCGTTTACTTCCTTCTTTTCTTTGACTTCATCCATGTCCTTCTTTAGCGCTGGATTTTTCACAATCGCGATCTTACCACCTTGCACTGTCGCCTGTTTTTCAGCTGTCTTATTTTTTTTCACAGTGTCCGCAATATTCTGCTCTTTTTCTTTCTTTTGTTGTTTTTGTTCAGTTACTTCCACTTCGCTTTTGTTTTCTTTAGCTTCTTCTTTCTTCTCAACAGTTTTTGGTTTAGCTTCGCTGTTGTCGACTGGTTTTTCGACAGTCTTCTTTGGTATTTTAAAGCTAGTTTTCGCTTTGGGAAACTCACAGGTGCTAAAGTCGGTGCTTCGATACAATTTATCCAACGTAGATGCGGCTGGTGGCTGTTCGGAAAGCTTGGCTAATACACTGCTATCCACCTCACCCACTTCGCCAATATCTTTGCTGTTTTCAGCAGTCTTTGCTGCCTCTGCAGCTGCTCTTCTCGCTGCCTCTTCCGCGGCAGCGCGCGCTTTTGCTTGCTTATATTCCACATATGTCCGCGGTTCACTCTGTTTTTGCTTTTTCGATTCGAAATACTTGCTGCGTTCGGTTTTATCATTGAGCAATGCGCTAAATTTACTATGATTAGGATTATGAGGCGGTACTCCTGCGGCAGAAATTTGGTGAAGGTGCTGATTTGTGGCTAGCCGCGGCGGCATAGGATGCCCGACATTTGGGCGTTCAAAAGGTGGTGTTGGCAACAAGTGTGGATTGGCTGCCCGAAAACCACTATTCACAGGCGCATCTTTTCCCTTCAAGTATTCATTAAAGGACCGATTAATTGGATTTTGTGGAATGTGCAATGGCACTGGCGGCGGTATAATTTTTGGTACATTTACAACCGGCGGCGTTTCTGGATCTGAGTCCCAGTTTTCTTCGCTGCTGTAGCCACTTTTACTTCTCTGTGTCGACGCGGGCTTATTTTCTCGTGGTGCAAACTCAAGAGGGGGTTGAGAACTGCCATAGGCTTTCGGTGAAACAGTCACAGGAAAGTCTCTTCTCGAATATATTCCCACTTGTGTTGGATTGATTAGTATATTATTTGTCAGACGTTGCCTTGGATCCATTGGCCCGCTGGGGTAATTTGGACTGAGTGAGGCGCGCGGATCTTTCACACCAATATCCAGTATGCTGGGTATTTGGTATATTCGCCCAGGTGGCTTGGTCACTGTGGCACTAACTTTTGAATTGGTTTGCGCTTGCGGTGAAGTCATATTATGCGGTGATACTTGTGGTTGTTGATAGAGGCCTGTGTTTGCGCCAGCAGCTGTAGGCTTCCTTAATCTGGGATCCTGGGGTAACTGAGCATTAAAAGAATTTGACGCACTTGGTGGAGTTGACTTATTTGTAGCACCGACAAAACGATTTGGATTCAAGCGCGGATCTGCTGGCGGGGTAGCGTGCAAGTCACTATTATTTTGATAAGTGCTTCGCTCCGCGCGCGGATGTGGTTTATATTTTAAAGCTACGCGTTCGTTGGGCAGAGAACTTTCCATATCTTTCGGTTTTGTTGTTGTAACTGGTGGCTTCAACATATCCGGACTGTCTCGCCGCTGTGGTGAGCCTTTTGTAACAATGGCGAACTTTTTACGTATTTTGTCGAGATTTGACGCTTCACTTGGTGATATTTCAGTGGCTGAACTCATGGTGTTATTCGGCGACTTCGCCGGACGACGTGTACCTATTCCGGCAATACTGGGAATACTCTTATCATTCGCATTTCCTTCACTTTCACTCAGCAAGTCTGAGATATCACTAGCTGACAATGGCGGGCTTTTCAATACCTCCGGTATGGTAGGCACTTTGACGGGTATGGAAATGGGTGCAGATCTACCGGGTACCGTCTTAGGTGGGTCCGGATTACGTACACGCGAAAACATATCATTCGATTTCGGCAAGTGCTTCTTAAAATTGAATATCGTATCATGGTATCTATCTTCCAGCCTCGATATTGGTGGCGAGTCGGGTGTTAAAGATTTTGCGGAATGACTTGTGTTAAATGACGGTCTTTTATTGACCTCGAAATCATCCCAACATTCTTCGGGTGAATAGATTTCATGGGCGAAAGCATTCGATGCGCGAGGATCACGATTTCGCGACGACTCTACATGGTTCTTATCACGATTTATGGCGTTTATAGTTGGAGGTACCACATCTTTTGAGCTCTCCATGCCAGCACTGCGTCTATTAAATATTTTTGAAGAATCACTAGAACGATCTCGCTCGCTTGAACGAGCAACCGATCGATTGAGATTTGACTGTTGTTGTTGTGTGTGATGTTCACGCGATTGATGGCTGCTTTCATGATGTTCATGGCGCTGTTGGTGATGATAATGATGTTGGTGGTGTTTCTGTTGTCGCTCCTGTTTATGTCTATCTCTTGACAATTTTTCACCCTCCATGGGTGATTTCCGCCGTTCTGTGGGTATTTCCACAGGTGGTACTTCCTCCAGAGGTTGTGGTGGTGGACTCTCTGGTCCTGTTATATCTACTACATCAACACTAGACACTTTATCTGTTTTACTTGGCACTTCTGTTTCTGACATTGTTGTTGTGTTATTTATGTTGGAAGTATGACTTGTTGGTTTGGAAGTTTCAGTTTCACCCTGCAAAAAGGGTATCTACTCATTGTTTGGGCATATTTTTGGGTTTGTGTTTTTATTTTTTTCAATGCAACGCAAACATTTTAAAGCAAATAACAAGAAGCAAGAAGAATGAAAGGAAATTGTCAAAAATAACGAATTGAAAAGTAAAGACAAGTTATATTATAGGCAAACATAGGTAAAATTATAAGACTTAGCTTATTTATGTTGTACTAAAACTAAACTAAAAAGAACGCTAAAAGGAGAAAACTCGCTAAAACATAATTGCACTTGACGCAGCCTTTCAATGTCCTCCTCGCTATAGCACCAGATTCAAAACGTCGTAGGGCAGAGACCCGCCCTTTCTAAAAACTCGTTTTGTACCGAATGGCTCAGAGAGGATCTTACCAATTCTTACAGCGTTGTTGCTATTGCTTAACGTAATTTTACGTTAGTTACATGGGGATGCCAAATTCAAAAATCCCGATGTACAGACGGCTCCTTTTCGTGCTACTTGGAAATCCCAAAGAGTATCGATCTCTCGCAGATCTCTACAATCATTTGACGTACATATGACGAAAACCTGCTATATGATGGATTCGTCAAGTTTAAAGCTACACTGTTGAGACTCAAACAGTTCGTAGACGGTTAGAGTTAGCCTTTCGCATAATATGCTCAATAAGACATTATATGCAAAGTTTAATAGGCGAATTCCACGGTAGTTGGCGGATATGGCAGGGTCGCCTTTTCTGTGGATTAGGCAGAGCACACTTTCAAAGCCTGATAATGGCCACTTAACTTAACGGAACTTAGAACTTAGAGAATCCAAATGAAACAGATCTCAACGTGGCATTAAGTTACGTTAAGTTTCGGCTGTTCAATTATAGGTAACATCCATCTAGGAGTATTTTTAAGTGAGATCCTGTAAGTTACGTTAAATTGCCATAATCACACCATAAGACCAGTCGTCAGGTAATCGTTCATACGGCGATATGCTGCATAAGAGTTGATGCATACACCTTATCAACTACTCGCCTCCGCACAGTGTGTATTAAAAAAATGGAAAAAAGTAATTTTTAAGCAAAAAACAAAACCGACTTCAATAAACATATAAAAATTTAAGATTATCGTTAATTTCTTCACGATCCAATTATCGGATGTAAACAAAATTGGTATGGGACCACCCTTGAGATACCACCTTTCCGATAAAAAATTATTATCAAAATCGGTTAACGTGGTCCAAAGCTATGCGGCAACATATGTACATAAAAAAATATATTTCGACGAACTGATAACCTCCTCCTTTTTGTGAATATCTCGAGAACAAGAAGAGGCAGCGAAATAGTTGTAGCGGTATTTTACAGATTTTGAGATGGAGAATCCAGGAAAAGTAGTCTCGTTGGATAGAAGAATTACCTTGACCTGTTATTGTGACCTTCAAATATACGTTTTAAAATTTTCCTTTTTTCACCTGAACCCAGTTTGCAATGAACTTTTTAAAAGTTACAAACATATTTCTGCTAATCGTGCGTAAATTCCGTAAGGAATCCAGTCCCTTGGTAACAAGAACCGAAAAATGCATGTACATACAGTATCGGTCATATCTATAGCACGCCATTTCAAAGTGATATTGTGGGCAACTTATGTTCATTAATTTATTTTTGAGAATTTTCAATTAAAATACAGTTCTTTCTCTAACAAACCCCATATAAACCCAAGTTTAACAATTCGTAGAAAACTTCAAAAAAGTACAACAAATTTTAACCTAAATTTCAAACTTTTTTCTCGGAAGTGTTTGAATTTTTCTGAATACACAGTTTTATAGCCCAATGAATTTTAGTCTGATAATGTGCAAGTTTCAAGTGACTGAAAGTTACCGTTGATTTTTTAGAATTTTTTTCGCCAAAGGTGTTGCGGCTTTCCTCCATATACAAATAAATTGAGTTTATTCATTATATGAAAGCCAATGCCACAAAAAAAATTCTAAAAAATTAACGGTAATTCGTAGCCACTTGAGATTTGCACATTAGCAGACTAAAATTGCAGTGGCTAAAAAACTGTGTACTCAACAAAATTCTAACACTTCCGAGAAAAAAAAGTTTGAAACTTAGGTGAAAATTTGTTGCACTTTTTTAAAGTTTTCTACAAATTGTTAAACTTGGGTTTATATGGGGTTTGTTAGAGAAAGAACTGTATTTTAATTGAATATTCTTAACAATAAATAAATAAGCATAAGTGGCACACAATATCACTTTGAAATGGCGTGCTATAGATATGACCGATACTGTAAGTCTTAAGTTTATCTATTACGAGCTATATTTAAGGTTAAATTAATGGTGACATAACCATAATCATATAAACCAACTGTTCCAACCAACTTTATGGCCAACGCTGTATTCGATTAGTGGTGCCACACCCATTCATATGTATGTTTAATACTTCTATATTGGCAGTAACCTATGTGCGCAATGTGTTTGGATTCAACAATCATAGGGAGATAGTTTTGAGCCAAATGTACATTTTACGCATGCGCAGGTTTTCCATGTATTAGAATCCGTGAATATATGTGACAACCACATTCAAATGAATTTCACGTATCCTCAGCAGTGTTGCCGCGAATCATTTTTAGCGGTAGCCAAATTCCGTTAAAAAAAGGGCTAAAAAAGAGCTAAAAAAAGTCGTTGTGGCTAAAAATGGTAGCTAAATTTTTTACTTACATATACATATAGAGGAGAGGCTCGGCCAAACACTAACATATGTGTAAGCGCCAATCTATTATTATTATTATACATATATAAGTATACACGCAAACATTTTCAATAAGTAATGGTATAGAAAAACAATGAATTCCGGAAAAAAGCAATATTTTATCCAACCTAAAACCTTTTTGTATAAAAGAGGAAGNTCAGCGAAGAGATATTTGAGAATTGCATAAAAAATGCATACCCAATTAAGAACGAGCGAAATACTTTTAAACACAAGTGCGTGTGTGTGTTCGCTGCACTTGGTTTATGCGGGAATGCAATATAAATGCGTGTGGGTGTTCGCTGTTCTTTGTTTATGCGGGAAATGCATAAGTCGCTTAAACATTGTTAAACATTGTTTTTTTTTTTGAAATTCACAACTGCAATATCGTGAACTTAATCTTCCACAAACACGGCTTTGACCCATAGAGGGCAAGAAATTTCCGCCAAAATACTTTTTGCTTAGAAAATTTAGCTAATTTCACCACTCACGACACCAGCATGCTGGTACAACCATAAAATTTTCATATAGTTTTTGAAGTCGCACCAGCAGCTGGTACAATCGCACCACAAGAACATACACGGTCAATCGACTTGATGGGCCATTTAGCAAATAAAGCATATTAAGGGCCGTAAACTTATTTATTTTAAACTATAGTAGTATAAAAACGTAAGGAACATACAATACATATATGAATATATATCAGTCTTTCTTAGTTTAAAAATTTATANATCCAACCTAAAACCTTTTTGTATAAAAGAGGAAGCATACGACACCAGCTTGCTGGCTCCATCAAGTGATTGTACCATCAGGCTCGAAGCATATAACTTACCAGCATGCTGGTACAATATTTATTTCTTTACAAATGAGGTCGAGGAAAGATCGAACAGATTAGAGCCGAAATTTCATAATTTTTCTACCATTTTGNACAATCGCACCACAAGAACATACACGGTCAATCGACTTGATGGGCCATTTAGCAAATAAAGCATATTAAGGGCCGTAAACTTATTTATTTTAAACTATAGTAGTATAAAAACGTAAGGAACATACAATACATATATGAATATATATCAGTCTTTCTTAGTTTAAAAATTTATATCTTACATAGATGAAAAAAATATGAGATCAAATTAAGCATATACAACTTTTTCATGCCAAGTATGAATAAATTCTCCAAAGGGCTAAAAAAAGGGCTAGGGGCAATTTTAAATTTATGTGGTCAAAAAAAGTATGTGGTAGCTAAATCTAGCCACCAAAGGGCTAAAACGGCAACACTAATTATTACGTTGACGTTAATGTTGACGATTTTTACTGAACATTTATGATGAAGTACTAAAATTTTATTTTAAAGCTACCTGGAAATTCAAAAACCGATTGGAAAAATTTTTTAATGATTAGAAATTTATTATTTTAGAACGTTTAACTCAAACATACATATATCTCCATTTTTCACTGAGTAAACATTTCCTCACTATTCAGTTAAAAAGGGATAAACAACTATATTGACTCACTCAAAGTTGAAGTGATCTTTATATAATACTCTCAATGTTATTCATTTTAATTTTTTTTGCAAATTTTTTTTTTTATAAAAGTAGAGCTCAATTTCTAACGGAAACTAAATCAATCCAAATTCCAAACTTTGTCAAAAATAAAAAAAATTAACAAAGTTTTATTAGAATTGCAAGATTTTAGGTTAAAATTTCTAGAAATTATCTGCGTACCAAAATACGCATGTAAAGCTATTTTATTTAATTTATCGCTTCTTTTTTTCACAAAAAATTAATGAAATTAAATGTAAACTAAAAATTCCCTGTAATTTTCTTTTAACGTTCCGCCACTGTGATTTGTTTTGAAATCAAGTGTCACTTGATACATACGATTACTTGGTTTTCCTTTTCTTTTTTTATACATCTGTACTGTAATGTTTGCTGACTGCACTTGTAGATACTCCCAATTAGGGATGTTTCGCGTTTTAATCTAGTATCAAAGTACAAAAGGGGCATATTATATTTCAAAAAAAGTTATTTTGCTGCCTTTTCTCCGATGAGGCGATTTCTTAGAGGCTAGTATATATGGCCGGCTGCACTGAACAATTGCTCACTTGGAACGCTGGCGGGTGGAGCGCTCAAATATTTGTTTTCCACCAATCGGGAGGATTTTCTCGTTTTTTTTTAAGATAGGCCTTCAATTGAGCTTTAATTTCACATTTTTTAATGTCTCCAGATTCTATAACCGAGCCTTCGCTTTCGCTGGAGGATTCTAAAATTATTTATAGGTTGCTTATAAGACTTTTAGCAGTACTTGTTGAAGGCCCATCAATTTGCTTGATAACCTACTTAACCGTTTAGCGTCTGAAGCTAAAAGCCGGTTGTTTACCGCACACTTGTTAGACAGACTTAGAGCCATTTCAACAATATTAGAGTGGACTCTCTGCCCGGGGTTGCCACTGCCGAAAAAAATACTTACCATCCACTTGAGAAAAATCTACCAAATGTGGAAAGTATTTACGAACAACTTTTTTTAATTATCTTAATAAACACCAGAGTTTTTCTCTATTTTTTTAGTTACTTCAATAAAAAGAACTTTTGATTTAACTAATCATATCATTGGCATATTCTCTGTTTCCTTCAACCAAAAGCAAAGTGATAAAACTTCATCATTTGAAGAAACTTCAACTGGAGTTATTATAGACAAATAGTAGAGGGACTCAAAAAATCGCTTCGTGATTTCTTTTTAATATCAACAATGTTTTTCAAGTAAAAATTTGTTTGCTATTTTTTGTACAAGAGTATTGTTTGCGCTTTAACCAAACCCAAATTATCGTCTAAATTTCGAACTTTTTACTCTGAATTTTTTGATCATTTTTGGGTATTCGGTTTTATAGCCCAGGGAATTCAGGTATAACCCTCAATATGCAGCTAAAAATTATTTTGCCGCCGGTCAGTTGTTTTTTTTTTTCATTTAACAATTGCCATTTATAAAACCTGCGTTGATTTTTGCTTTTTAATTTTTTGACAACAATCATACTGTGTAATTACACACCTGCCCATTTTTTCTTTTTATTTAAAGAGTTTTTTAAAATATTTAGTCCATTAAAGGCTCCTCAGGATTACACTAAATTGAGTTTTGAATGGGGCAACATATCGCCTTTTAACGATATACATACATACATACATGTTGTTACCTTAATTCATAAAGGCCCTAACCAACACTTTTTTCGAAACTGCGTTTTTCACAGATTTTGGTAGGATATATTAAAATATACCTTCAATAAAAAATTTTAAGTCTAATGTTAAATTTTAACAGTCTGAAATATTTTAAAAATGATTGGTGATTAGTACCAAAACAATGCAGTTACATGCCAATTTTTAAAAACCCCTACCTGTTTTTAATATATATTTTTTAATGTTTTTTTGATTATCCTGTGAAAATTAAAATTTGCTGGTTAGGGCCTTTGCGAATTAAAAAGTGTGCATTAAAGCGTTCGAAAATTTATGCAATAAAGTAGACTATAATCTTTGTAAGAAATTCATAAAATAAAGATGTTCAGCAACGAAAAATGAAGCGCGCGAACGAAACGTTTAATTTGGTGTTAAAGAAATTACTTTAACAAAAATCTACGAAAATCAAAAAAAATTACATTTTTACCAACCCAAATTTTTTCTACCAATTTTGGTAATAATTTACCAAAGTGGCAACCCTGCTCTCTGCCCATGTACACATTCGCATTCGCAAAGCATTAGTATCATTTGATGCGAATATCGAATACGAATGTGTAAAATGATGCGAATGCAAATATTCGCAACATCCCTGCTCCCAATATAGAATTATTACATATAACGCCACACCATAACGCCATAGCCATAACTGAAGTGCGAGTAAGAACGTGTTGCCAGACGTTCAAAAAACAAAAAAATATTGTTCACAGCCAACGTTTTGGCATAAACGTAGAGTATGAACTATTTAGCTATGCAAAAACCATAAATCTGAACTACATAACCGATTCAAAAACTAATGATGCCAAAATAAAGACAATTAATTTATCTTTCAGTTGATGTACGTAATTTATATGCTTTTTCATACATTTAATCCAAAAATACTAAAAAACGAAAACAAATTTCGTATTTTTTCATAAAAAAAATTTTTTTAACAAAAACAAATTTATATTATTAAGAAAGTACTATTAAGTAAATACCTTTACCTTGATGTACATATTTTATTATTATGATCTGCTTTTGAGTTTTAAGAATTTAGTGTTAATTTAGTGATAGTGAGAGAAGTTCTGCGCAAATGTCCTACGATATTACACATTTTCCGCGTCTGGCAACACCGACATTGTAGACTACGAAAAATCAGCTGTTTATGGTTATGATACCTATAATCGATGATAGTTAATGTGGTTACGGTTATGGCTATGGCATTATGGTAACTATGTCACCACTAATTTAACCTTTAGGTAAAAAAATAAGAAAACTCAAGGAAGGTAATTTTAAATGTTTGATTGTATGAAAAATTACTTTGTTCTCAAAACCGACCTTCTCTTTTCATTTTTAACAAAAAAAAAAACTACATGCAATGACTTTGAAAAAAATGTCTGTGGATTTTTTGGCGCTTATGTATGAACATGAAAATGGATTCCTTGCTGCAAGAAGAGCAAAAATATGTGCGCAAAACTTTTAAAAAGTTCATTGCATACTAGTTTCAGGTCAAAAAAAAGAAAAGAAAATTTAAAACCTTCCATATTTGGAGGTAATTTTAAAGGTTATCCAATGACTACTTTTCCTGAATTCTCTATCTCAAAAGCTTTAAAATACTATTAAACTTATTTCGCCATCTCGCCTCGTTCTCGAGATATGTGCATGACTTTGTCCATTATTTTTTTTTTTCCAAAATAGAACACTGTGCGTCGTCAGCTTCAAATTTTTTCTGGTTTTCCAGTGGCGAAATTGGTATTCGTACATCGTTTTGGACAGGCGGTGGAATATTGGTTCCGCCGTTATTGACTGGGAACTTGCGTTTATCTTCTCCACTGGTTCACTGTTACCTTCTAATTAAGTATTGTCTTAATATCAGACAAAAAGTCGTCGTTTTTGTTCTTACTAGAACTCGCCCTGGTCTTCGGAAATTTTTCGAGCTTGATGTCTTCGCACTCACGCCTTTCAGCCTCTATATGGATTTACATGCAATCTGCTATGTAAGCAGCTTTTCGGCATTAAGCTTTCTTTGCATTGCTGGATGTTTTGGTCCGCGGAGCATGCGTTCCGCTTAACACAACATGATCGATCTGGTTTCTCGTCTTTACAACTGCAAACAGACATGTAGCTTGACGATGTTCCTATGCGGGATACTTGCAGTGCTGAAGACTCAGTCCGTTATCGCATGTTTTGGATCAAAGTTCACAAGAGTTCTGTGGCCGCCTCGTCCTTCCCTTTCACCGGGGCGTGGTCACAAATGAGCGAGATGCTGAGGAGTCTCGACTTGTTGCGGATTGTGGCAAGACGCTCGTCCACGGCGGTTTATGACAATACTAGGCGCCTACACCGAATTTGAGCTCCTTTACGCGGTAGCTGTAGTAGGCGTCGCATGGTCATATGCTTTTCCAATTCAATCGAATGTATCCATTGGAGGAAGATTGGGTTACATAAAAACTTACCTATGTTGTTTCAGAAATGTCACCCTTGGGCTTTGGGTATTTTATGAGGATTTAATCAGAAGACTTATAGAAGTTTATAAGCCATATATTCGATATTAATGAAAAACACATAGGCGAATATGTTTATGATTGCTAGCTGGACATTGAAAAAAATCACGCTAAGTGCAATTCTTAGCAGAAATTAGGAATTTGGAAAATTTCATATACATAGGTTCAAAATAATATTCATACAAGTAAAAGCATGCACAGTTACATGCACCATGCTTCTGTATAAATTAAGACAAAAATTAACATAATTAGCGCCAGTAAAAATCAATTATACATAAATAAAGTAATAATAAATTTACGCAAATAAAACATAGCTTAGGGCTAAACTAATATATAGAAATTTTTCAACTTCAACATACCCTTTCCATTTTGCTGGCAAGCTTTAATAATAATCCTTCACATTTCATCAATGTCTCCATTTTTAATCTGAAAAGTGTATTTATAGGGAAAAATACGATATCTCATTTGTTTGCTTAACAACTGTGACAAATGTTTGTCTTATAGAGTTAGTATTTTTTAATCTTTAGTTTTTTGCTCATTTTGGCTCAACGTACTTTTTCTTGTTGTCTTTCAGCAAATCGTGAAGCACTTCCATTTTTTTCAATTGCGCCATGCGCGGATTGTCATCATCTTGATCGGAACTGCTACGCAATTTCTCGATGACATTCCTGAGGAATGGCAGATATTTCTGCATTTCCATAAATTTAGTATCAAAATCCGTCATCTTTGCGTTTTATTTATAAAACGTATAACTAAGGTAATAAAATCATCTGACTGCAATGAAAATAAAAAAGCAAATGGGAACACATTAAGCAGTTAGTTAAGGGTTTTAATTTTTTTTATGTTTATTTAGTGGAAGTAGCTAATTTAGGAACGAATTTCTGAGACGCCTTGTAAAGTTTGTTTTGGAGACAAACCGATTTCAGGGTTGTACCATCTTCAGTGTAATTTGTCAAAAACAAAAAAACGGAACGGAAATTCATTTCAAAATGTGTACGGTGGCGGAAAAAATAACGGCGCCAAATTTTAACAAGTTTTGGCTATTTTTCTTTCGTTTTTTTTAAGGTTTTTTATTTTTTTTTATAAATGTATCGCCCGTATGAATAAAAGCTAAGCAATTGCTTTGTTTTTAATTTCAGACCTTTTACTTAAATTTGTTTGAATAAATCGAGTAAAAGGTCTGATGTTTGAATAAAAAGCAATTGCTTAGTTTTTATTCTTAAGATTATATGGAAATTTTTTTTTTCCAAATTATTGTATTTGTGTTTTTTAATCTAATAGCATATATGTATGTATATGAAGTTTTAAGGCCGTAGGATAACGATAACCCGTGCCGACTTTTAGTTGAAGTTTTAGTTAATCTGGCTGGTTCTGCCATTCACTTCCGAGTGGATTTCAATCTGTTTGGTTTTAAATTCAAATTAGTAGGGGTTGAAATTCACTCGGGAGTGAATTGCAGAACCTGAGTAAATAACTTGAACTAATCGTTCATGAAAACTTTGGAAATGCGAAAAATTCCATGTTTCCGATATTTGAACGCATTTCTAGTAAATCTACATCTTTCAATTTTTAATAGGACGGCAGGATTTCTCCCAAGGACATCCAAAAAATTAATTCAAGGAAAACAAAACGGGTTTATTTACGAGGTTTACGCAGGTAAGGCGGCATTTACGCGTATGTTTTAAGACAATTTGCTATTGTACATATTAGGGATGTTAATTCCGGGATCCCGGTCATTTCTAGGCGACGAAAATCCGGGGATTCTTGGCAAATAGTATGTAATTTGTATTTGCACTGATGGCAATTCAAAAATTATTACAAAATTCAGAGAAATGTATGGGTAAAGAGGAAATCCTGCAGGATTTAATCAGATTCAATTTTTTCGTGCAGAACGACTGGTAAGTATTGAAAATATCCTTTCAAAATTTTATCCTTGAAATTTCGCAATATTTGTTTTTTGAAAAAATTATGTTAAGAACTTATATAAACTCGATAATATCCTCGAATCTCGTCCTTCTAACTTTATCAGCTTAAAAAATTACCTATTCGTCCTTGTGAATCCAAAAAATTTAAATTTTTTTTAAGTTCGAAAGAAATTTCCTCTTCCATTTGGTACCCATATTTTTATTCTACATTGCATTGAATTTTTTTAAATAACTTTTGGAATTAATCATATCTTTGAAATTACAAAATCCTTTAAAATAAATCCTGACGTCAGAGAGAAATAAATAAAAACGCCACTTTAAATAAAAAAAAGTCGGTTTCAAACTCATTTATTTAATGGTAGGAGAGATAGAAGCAATTTTATCGATTTAAGTTGTTGAAAAGTAATTATATCTAAATCCTCGGACTAATCACCGGATTGTGAGAACGACATCCCAAAAATCCCGGGATCATAAAAAGCAAAAAAATTAACATCCCTAGTACATATGTATATGGGAAAAGAACGCGAGTTGGTACAAACGTGGTAAAAATGAGTAAAGCCGTCAGTGAAACGGCACCAAAGTTTTTGTTAAAAATTCCGATCCATAAGTTTAAAACTTTAAAGAAAGTTTGTTGAATATTCCAAATTTTTATACAAAGTTTGAATTTGGGCTACCATGGCTTTTGTTAGATGAGTTATACTTTTGTTAAAAAAAAGAAAAATTGCCAAAACTTTGATACAAAAAATAAGATAGTTTCATATATAGAATACATAGTATACACTTAGATCTCTTTTTATGCGGTTTTTTTATGCGGATTTTCGAACAATTTTTTTCGCTGTAGCGATTTTGCTTTTCTGAGTTCTTATTACTTTTTTTCGGTGTGTAAGAGACAATGCTTCTGATAATTAATTTGTTTTTGTATTCGTCATAATTCATATATTTACTGTGTTTTTTGCGTTTGGTTAAAATACGGATGAAATATTATTTATTAACTGACTTTAAAAAGAGGAGGAAGGTTATCAATTCGTCGGAATATTTTTTTTTTTTGTATGTTTCCGCATATTTTTGGACCACGTTAACCGATTTCTATAATTCTTTTTATAAAGGAAAGGTGTTATCTCACATGTGGTCGCATTCTAATTTGGTTTAACTCCGATGATTGTATCATGAAGATATTAACGATAACCTTAAATTTTTATACGAGAAATGAAGTCGGTTTTTTTTGTTTGCTTAAAAATTTCTTGTTTCATTAATGTTTAGTTTTACATAAAAAAAAGTGTTGAAATGAGGAAACAAATTGTTTTGTTTTGCTTAATATTGCCTCACTGGATTTTTTATGCGGTTTTTTAGAATTTTTACATGGAGTATCTGAATTTATGTGGTTTTTGAAAATGTTGGAATGCATCCTCTGTTTTGTATGAAAGTAAAGAGCTTTTTTAAGTGGATTTCATCTCCGCGTTCTATACCTCCATACCCTCTCTCGATCACAATGTGGAGTCAAAAAACTTTTCACCTTGCGTAAATTGTGACAGTTTCACGGCTGTTTCGTAATTGAAGAACCGAATAGCAGATGATTTTTATGAAGAAGCTTTCTTCATGGCAGAAGTACACTCACTCGGAGGTTTGTTAGTGACGAGGGTCAACAGCTATTGAAACAACACTTGTTTGGATGTTGGTCGGACTAGAAACCGAACCTGGGTCCAATTGGGTGGCAGTGTTCATCTCTAATCACTCAGCCACGGCAGCCGCTATTCAGAATTTAGCATCATCAAACTGTCTGATAAAATAAGTATTTAAAACCGCAAGGAGGGGAGAAAAAGCTCGTTTAACCTGTTTTAATTTCTTTGTTTTTAATGGAGAGCCTGCGATAGTACCGAAATTTTAAGCCACATGCATTTTTAAAACCACAAACGCGTAAACTATATTAGATTGTCTGTACCACAGTATACAGTAAACCAGCCATTGACAATATGCTTATTTGAAAATTAATACATGAAATATTGTGAATGTATAGGATTTATTTGTCATTAACCCATAGGCAACGACTGATGCAAAAGTACCCACAAATGTTTGTTGATGCATTTGACATGTAAATTTGAACAGCAAAATTCGTAAAAAAATACTAATAAAACAAAAATAATTTTAATTACTACGTGGGAAGTGGGCGTGGTTATTGGCAGATTTCGCCAAAGTTTAACACTATCCTAACTTATACCAAAGGCAACTTCGACACCGACTTTCGTTAAAATATCTAAATTTTGTTCGAGTTAGCGTGTTTACAAATAGAGAGGGCTGAACTAGTTCATCTCGTAATTTTGAATATTTTGATATATATGTATGCATATGTGTATATATGTACATACATTTTATACGGTTAACAAACGCGCTTGCTTATCTGCATAAACCGTCTTTACTTGGATTAATTCATGCATTATCCCCTTTCAAATGTGAATAAGCGGCTGAACAAATACATACAAATTTCGGGCATTTGAAAATTAGAGAGTTCTACCTTAAGCTAAGTAATAATTGTTTTACCGCCTAATCGATGGGACCATTTTAAAAAGTCAGCCCGCCATTACTCACTCACGTGTTTGGAACACGGTTTGACTTATGTAGGAACTGCGCCCGGTTATAATCGCTTACGCTTCACGCTTGATTTGCTTGGAATTTTGTTTTCTCTTTATTTTGTTGACTTGAAAATATTTTTCACTATAAGAAAATATTTAAATTGGATTTCATTTGGGTTAACGAAAACGACAACTGTGAAAAAATATCAACCAATACATTCAAACAATATGTCAAATAAGCATATTTACATTTATTGTTTTGGCTATCTCGATTACTGTATACTGTGGTCTGTACCATGATAAAAATATAGTAAGGTATAACCGCTGAGAGTCACTTTTAAAATTCTTGACGTTTCCAAACAATTTAATTTTTAAATTTACTCACAAACTCACACACACATTTTCATTTTCAATCTCAAGCAACAACAATTTCGAACAATTTCAATTTTTTATTTTCACTTTTATATGATTTTAAAATGTTGGCAAACTTCAAAAAAAAATCATGGCCGACAAATTGAGAGAACGGTTCTACCTTGCTATGTTTTTATCATGGTCTGTACTTTAATTTGTTTTAAATATTTTTACAAAAAATTTCAAATGGCAGATTTTGAACAGAGTACTTTTTTTAACGAATTCAAAGTACAGTAAAATTAAAGTGTTTTGGAGTGCATGACTTTTTTTTGCTCATTCTAACAACTGAAATATATCAAAATTATTGCAAGCCAACTATGGCTATTTCGAAGTGTACTCACTTTATCGCTAACTCCAAGACAAGTCAAGAAAATAAAGAAAACGCCGCATTTCTAATTGCGTGGCCAGCCAAGAAACACACACCGCAAAATAATTTGAATTTTTTTTAATAACCAATCATCGTATCAGCAGGTGTTTGTTTGACAACAATGTTCATGGCCTACTCTATGAATAACGGTGCCTTTATTTTACAGTGTCCGTCTTAAACAAACTTGTAAAGTGATTTTGGTTTTTCTGGCATGTCGTTTCTAATTATAAGGCCACCACTGAACATCTGAGCAACACGCTTTTCTACTCATATTCATACAAAAAATCTTTGCGTATTTTCAATTGATCACTATTATTTCTTTATTTATCAATCCGATTTCTTCAGTGGTAACTTGATTTTTTTTTGGAACAGAACAGGCTTTAGCACAGATGTAAAAATTTGGCACAGAACCTGTTATCTTTTAAACTTTTCTTCTGTTAAATTTTTATATTTTTTTCCATTGAAAAATAAAAAAAAACTCGAATGATTAATTAATTTGTCAGA